AGAAACATTCATGCTCTGATAAGTAGCTGAAGATGAGGAAGCAGAACCAACGGCAATTTCAAATGCTATCTCATAAAGTCGTAAGACTGAATATGTGGGAACATATTTACTTATGAATATTTTGACGGATTAGTGACAAAAAAATTTTGTTGCCAATATTAGTGACCAATTAGTGACAGAATTTCTATTCGTTGCTAATCTGTCAAAAAATTCGTAAGCAAATATTTAGCGACGGAATTTTTTCTATTTGAAATTTCAGCTGCTAATTTTAATTATAAAATTTTTAGTGACAAGATTAGCGACAAAAATATTTCTTTGCTAAATTATTTGTCACAAAAGTTCTTGTCATTAATTATGTCGCTAATTCTACTCTATCGCAATTCTGTTACTAATCTATCACTAATTCTAAATTTTATTATTTTAAATTATAATCTTACAACAATTTATATAATAACATAATTAAGGATACGATGATTTAGATATATTTTTAATTATAAAATGAATTGATATATTTGTAGAGTTGGTGTTAATGAAAGTATTGTCATTATTCATGTCATCATTAGATATATATTGAGAATAGGAAAACAATTTCGTAGAAAACTTATTTATATTTCATTAAAATAAATTCCTCTTGATTATTAATAATAACGAAAAATATAATAAGAATATTGATAACTTTATTGTACAAATTGATATAAGAAGAAAATTAATTTATTATCCGTACAATATATTGAAAGATGTAATATATGATAGAAATATAAAACCGAAAAATATATTTATATAAACATCTCAATTTATGCTTATAAATCAAACTAATATTGAAGTGAATTTTGAATTTCAATCATTAAACAGTAAAATTTAATCATGATATAATTAATACCTATAATATAGATTGATTTTGGTAGTCAATGCAAAAACAAATAATATATGCAAAGAATTTTAAGAAAATAAATTATATAGGATACATATATAAGTAGGAGAATGTTGTTTATCATTATCTATTCAAATCATTTAATTTTTTATATAGAATAACTTATTATATTTTATTATAGTAGCGATTTTTTGAATAACAAGATTTTATTACTAATTATAAATGGTTTTCATTAAATATATAAAACACATATAGATGATATAATATAATGTAATATAATAAATATATAACTAAATTATATATCTTATCAATGTTAATTAAAAAAATAAATTTAAAAAACATATTTATGAAAAAATTATTTATGATTTAAAATTCAAAATTAGTGTCATTGAAAATTAAAATTATATTAAAAATATTTCTCTAAAAATAAAACATTATAAAATTTGTGATGAAAATTAGTGTCAGCAATTAGTGACAAATTAGAGTTAAAAAATTTTGTGTTGATAATTACCTAATCCGCATCTAATTAGCAGCAGAATTTTAATTATGTCACTAATCTAATTAGTGACAAAAGAATTAGTGATGAAACAAATTCCGTCGCTAATCCATCGCTAAATAAAAATTTTATTACTAAATTCTGTTACTAATCACATATTTTTTTGTAGTGCTTCACTAAGTTGTATTTAAATCATTTTGGAACTTTTGATTAGCAAGTTCCATGAAACATTTTTACAGTATTTTGTATTCCTTAAAACTTTAGTGTCATTTTCCCTTTTAAATCCATACATGTGTGTGTTATTTACAAGGAACAAAAAACCAGATTAGATACTGAACCGGTCAAGACATTGGTTCAAAGGTTAATGTGTTAGATCAAGATTAGACCGGGTCAGACCGGTAATAATTAAAATAAGTAAAAATATTATAAAAATATTCATATTCTAATTATAGAAAATAATATTTAATTTTTAAATGGATAATCATGTTATAAAATATTTATGTATATAAAATTTTTTTTATTTTTTTTATTTTTTTTCTCTATCTTCTCTCTCCCATGTGCCATGCCTGCTTTTCTCCATATATCACACACCACGAAGCAATGTCTCTCTCCTTGGATATTGAACAAGCAGGTAGACTAGGGGGTAGCAGCTTATCTTGCCTCCTTCAACACACAACGCCATTTCTCCCTCCTCTCTCTCAAATTACTTCTTGCCGCCTCACTTTTGTTTCTTCTTTATCCGCATTCATCCATCTTTATTCACCCATCCTGCGCTCTCTCTTATCTTTCTCCTTCTCTTACAGTCATCTATGGGTATATTTCAAAGCGGCAGAAACAAAAATTTCTTTTCCTCAGCCTCCATGATCTCCTCTACTTCTACTGCCCGTCTTTACAGTGTTCATGTTTTCTGGCAAACAATAAGACGTCATGAACGATGAGAGCAGTTTTGGGGGGGGGAAAGGGCCAACCTAGTCTACCCAACGGTTTTTCCGGTTTTGACCGGTTTATTCTGGTTCATCTCAGTTCATTCCGGATTGATTGCGAGCCGGTTTTTAAGCTACACCAGACCAGATCTCAAGCCGGTTTGTCGGTTTTCCGGTTGAACCGGCTGATCTGGTCTGATTTTTTTTCCCTTAGTTATTCACCTCTTGCTGTGCGTTTGTTTGGAATATGGATGAGGCCAAAAAAAAAACAAAAGAAAAGAAATCGGTCTCTAATTCATTCCACTGGGCCCCACGTTGCTATTATAGTTCTCATTTTTTATTTAAGGGTTAAGGTGCATCTAGCACTCCCAATTATTTTGTCAGGTGCACCCAGTGGCCTAAAGTAATTTATGGTGCAATTTTGCCCTCAAGGTAATTAAAATGGTGCACCGGTATCCCATGCTAACAGATCTGTTACTTTGATCGTTAAATTGATGAGTCATCACAAGTTTGACCAAAATAATCTGACGTGGCATGTCTAATAAGCAGGTGATGTGGAATTTTTTTGGGGTTAAGATGCATCCAGCACTCCCAAGTATTTCTCCAGATGCACCCAGTGGCCTAAAGTAATTTATGGTGCAATTTTACCCTCAAAGTAATTAAAATGGTGCACCGGTATCCTATGCTAACAGATCTGTTACTTTGACTGTGAAATTGATGAGTCAGCACAAGTTTGACCAAAATAATCTGACCTGGCATGTCTAATAAGTAGGTAATGTGGAATTTTTTTTTGTTTGCCACTGCTTTGTTTTCTCTGTTCAGTAAATGCTCTCTTCGGCTCTTGGAATTTTTTTTAGAGTAAGAAATTTTTTCAGAGATAATCCTCTGGTCCTATTTATAGGGTAGAGAGAGAAGATATTTTTTGGTCCTATCTCAGAGTTATCCCACAGAGTCAGTTGTTAGCGACACTGTTGAGGTTGTCAATGAATTCTCCTCAGGTTGTCAACAGTCACTGTTGAGGTTGTCAATAGATCTGACAGAGAAGACTGTGATATGTACCTATCATGTCATCATAGTTAGCATTCGTTTTTTTAGTATTAATACCCTTATCATTTCTAGACATGATAAGGATATTAATGAAGAATTTCATGCTAATCAATACACATAAATGGCATTAAAAAAACTTTTTAACCATTAAATAATATCAATACACATTAACTTAACTTTACATTTAGATGTCATTATATTGTCAAATGAAAAAACAAAACGCTATATATGCTACCATCTCTAACATATTGCATTTCATCTTCTACATCATTAATAAATTGTCTCCCTGGATGGATATAGCAGAACAAATTCTTCCCACTTGAACTTGCCATTCTTCATATCAACCTGTCACAATCACTTGTCATTGACAAGTCATATAGTTAGATTGAGAACCTTTGATGTATCCATTAACAATACATTGAACCATCGCATTACAGGGATTATAACAAAAAAAAAACACTGTCATATTCATTTATTTTCAGCAGAAACAGAGCATGAACCAGCGAAAAACAGAGCATCAATTTTATACTTCACAGAATGAGAAGCGAAAAACAAGAAAGTTGGTAGTGACAATGAGAAGCAATAGGTGTGAGGTAGAGACGGAGTCAGAGAGGCGAGGAGCATAGCAGAATATCACAGTCAAAGAGGCGAGACGCGATAGGAAGAGAGGCGAGATGCGACGGAGCTGTGCGAATGAAAGAACCCTCATATTTTTCTTCAGCGTTTTCTTTCAAATGAATGAGGGTAATTTTGTAATTGCATAATTGAAATTTTTCACAATTAAGTCCCTTGGGACCTCATATTCATTTTAGCATTTCCAGGGACCTTAGAGTGATAAAATCTCTTGCTTGGGACTCTACAGTAATTTTACCTTTTAACTTCGGGCTGGGCGGTGAAGAAATCCAGCAAGATTCTTTTGTCTATTCACACCTGAGCTGATTTGGAAGACATATTTGCAATTTTCAATGGTGTTAAAGTAATTTTTTTTAACATGTAGGATAATTATTTAATCAGTCAAAATAAATTATATATGATAAGGATTAAATTGTTAAATATGAAAAGATTATAAGCTTAAGTTACAAGCCAGTCAAAAGTATAAGGATTGAGTTATAACGCGCCATAGTTGATGGATTGAGTTGCGAGTGAGTTACATGCTGCCCAGCTAATTAACAAGAATTAACAGCATAGGAAATTAAATTGAGAGCAAAACTTGATATGTAAGCTTCGTGTGCTCTAATTTCCCTACAAATCAACGATAAAGAATATCTTCATAAAATATTAACAAGGCATCTAAAAGGAAAACAACGAAACAAGCTTATAGACTTGAGGAAATAAAATAAATAAGAGCCATGAACAGAAATGAACATGAATTAGCATTAATCAAATATTTCAACCCCAGCCTGCTGAAAATACAGGGAACCAAAAAAATCAGACATGCATGAACTAACCCCTACCTCCAAAATATTTTTCCTGTTTTCCCTACAGGGGAAAAGAGAAAGAGGTTTAGTAGTCCAAACAATTATGATACTCAAGGGCTTATCTCATGTTTTGACTTGTTATGGATCAAATGAGCATATAAAATTTGAAAAAAAAAAAAAACTAATACAAGATCAAATAACTACCATGGAATAGTCAGGCGCAGGAGAATCATGGAGCGTAAGAATACAACTGGTAACCGGCTGATATAATTTTTGAGTTCATCACAGAACCCTTTAAAAAGATTGACCTCCAGGACAAACTGCAATTTTAACTGTCAAAAATACAAGCAGTAAGCTCTAACAATATCTACCTACAGGAAAATTCTCAAAACAATATCAAATTGTAATTTATTTGCCTCAACCTACAGAGTTTAGTTCAGTTTTCTTTGCTTCAAAAAATCCTACTCCATAACTGCTACTCCTCCAGCAGCTTTAATCTTTTCTATCATGTCATTTGCCTCTTCTTTAGTGACCCCTTGTTTGAGCACAACAGGTAATTTTTCAACGAGATCTTTGGCCTCTTTCAAACCCAGGTTGGTAAATGTTCTGACCTCCTTAATCACCTTGATCTTTGCAGCAGCATCAAACTTTTCAAACTTGACGTCAAATGCTGTTTTTTCTGCCTTTTTCTCCTCACCCTTCGGTCCAGCCGCACCATCTTGTGGAGCCAAGTCCATGCCTTCTGTTGAAATTGGCTGCAACTTTGGAAGCCTTGGTCTCTCTGCCAAAGTAGGCCTAATCTGACGGCGTGCTTTCTCAAGCAGTGCCGCAATTCGCTCCGCAAGCTGAAGAGCTTTCTCTGAGGAAGTAGGTCTGGGGCCATATGGATCATAAAATTGAGGAATTTTGCACTTTTTTCGCTTGGCCTTTGTATATCTGGGTACAAAATCAGGTTGGAATGCACGACAATTCCCAACTGCATACGTACTGGGCCAAGTGCAGCTACGAGGAAGCAATCTGGAAATTACAGTAAACCTCATGTCTTCGTTCAATCAAGATTGTGACTCAGAATCAAAATGCAGGGGAAAGTTTCTGTTCCGACATAGTATTTGCTTCACCCCCTGTCAAAGTTCAAAATTACTCTCTTTTAACACACACTTGAGAAGCAACGAGATCATATGGTAAAGCACAAGTCATGAGTTACATGATAATTCCTACAAGTGCAGATGTTCATGTCATATCAACATTCTACCCAAATATTTTCATAGAGAAGAGGAAAGTATCATCAGAGTGCATCAGAAAATAGCTGGAAATGATAACCCATAAAATGTCACATCTCTTACTCATAATCTAATTGATCAAAATTGTTAAAGTCACAAGCATAATACCCAATACAACATTCTAAGATGATAAAATTGTCAAAAAATTACATGGAACACCGATATTCCCACTATGGGAGGGGGTGGGGTAAAAGTCCCACTTCCAAGTACTCATACTTAATAATACATGTCTTGTCCAATTCATTTGGAAGCATGGTGAATACTTTTAACCACGATCCGTCATCTTCATTTAAACCAACCAATGTTTAGATGCCTTTAGATGAGAACCAATGAAACTAAACACTGTAATTCGAATTAAAGGTTGCTTCTTTCAGTAATTGAACAATACCACTGCTGGAAAAGATCTTCAATTTTCAATACACACCCATATGTACTCATTCATTCAGTACCAAGAACCCAAAATTGTGATTCAAATAAAAAACCTTGCTTGAAGTCTTTTTACCACAAGGAATCAATGCATAGACAAATATAGATAAAAGTTCAATAAATGGAGTTAATCGCCACTAAAACGAAAAAAAGAGTCGAAAAGGGCCAGATAAAAAATTGAAGTTAAACATTGTTATTACAAAAATCACTTGCAGGATAAATTTGTGACTGCATTGGACATTTGATATCTGGAACTAAAGAAGAAGTTACCTTTCTCAGCTCGGAATGGCCTTTCTTTTTAATTACAGAAACAATTCAAGGTTACGAGTAATGTTCTAACTTTGTGAGGGTAGCATCCTAACTTTGTAACAACTGGCAATTCATAAGTTCATGTTGTTCAACAACTTCAAATGGGAGAGGACATCATCACACACAGTAAGGAGTTCTTGCCTAACCAGCATAATGTCCTCCGGAACTCCATGTATTTTATCATACACTTGATAAATGTAATTCAACATACAAGACCTTCCTCTTATAACAGGCCGTTCAAAAGGATCCCCTCTTGTTCGATAAAAAAAAAACAATGCTTTTCCTCCGGACTCGACTTTAAATATCCACGGATTTGTCATTCTCTGTTTGCTTATTGGCCCTACGTAATTCAGAAAACACTAGTTTTATCGAAGCCTCATGTTCATATCTCTTTTCGAAAGACACTATTCGATAATGTCTATCCAGCATAATCCCCTGTTGACACTAGTGAGCATTCAAATTTCAAAAGACAACGTTCGTACGGAAGCATATGAAAGCATAAACAGATCATACCAAATCTTTACTTGTATGGCCGACGAGAGAGCGACGCTGACGATGTCTGATCCGAAGCGATGACTCCCATAAGTCCCTCCTGAATGAAAAGCTAACGGAGTGTGATGTGCGACTAATAAGACGGAGAGGGAGAAGGATGGGGGGAGGAGAAGCTACGTTTAGGTTGCAACCACGACACCGAAACGCACCCCATCTTGAATTTTATTTTGGGGGTCTCTTTTGATATATATATAAATAAATAAATAAATATATATATATATATATAAAAGCGAAATGTCGTTAAAAAAGCGAAATTCTTAGGTTAAAATGACACTGAAGATAAAATAAATAAATTTATAAATGTAATAATTTCAAAAAATTTTTAAAAGATAAATTCAAAATTCAATTTGATTTTAAATTGATTTTTTGATTTTGCACAATATCTTTTTTATAATTTTTTAATAAAATTAGAAATTTTTATATTTACATATTATACAAATATTATATAACTATTTAAAATTATTATCTTAATCATTAATTTGATATTTTAAGTGTTCATTAGGTGGCTATGTGAGAGTTCGCAAGCGTGGATAAATATTATAGAACACCAGGCATAGTATATCAATCACATGTAATTATTAATTTAGCAACCTTTAAAAGCACAAAACAAAACAAAAACAAAAAACTTTGGCATCCTCAACTCTTTTCCCCCCAAACTTTTTTAGGGCCAGCGAGATCTCCACTTTCTTTGCACCAAGGTTTATGGTAGAAGTGGACTGAAATGTGAATAATGGATTAATGGTTAAAAAATAAAACATTTTTTTATATAATCATAAAAAATAAGTTTACAGTACAGAAAATAATGGAATGTACATGTAGGATTCTCAAGCCATAGCTATTTTCAATACAATTATTATGGATCCATTGGAATGCATGGGCCTTCCATCCTTCTAAAATACCAAATCCTGAACAATGTTTTACACAATGTTCAAAATACCCCTAGCAACGAGAGTTGGGGCTAGCAAAATGGACTAGTCCCTCACAACGTGACGAACTAAGGTTCGAATCCTTACTAGAAGAAGTGTCTATATTTAGTATCCGACAATGCCTCAAATAGGATAACCTCTAATAGGAAGATATCTATACTTTAGCACACACAAAAAAGTTCAAAATACCCTTCTTCTATTTTCCAATTTCTATTTTCATTTTCGTGAAAAAGAATTTGTATGAAGGTCCTTAAAATTGACAAAATTAGATTGTTGTGCTTGGAAGCCTGATGAACCAAAGCAATCACATGCAAATCAAATGAAATAAAGCAGAAAATTTATTATGTAAAACTATTTAATTATTTCACAACGGAATAATTAAAGTCATTTGCTTCCTTGTGTGAATTATTTGATTTTATTTATAAGATTTGCATTTCATCATGAACTTTAAATCATCCGAAATACTTTCGAGAGAGAAGTTAGAAATGGATAAAATAAAATAATGAGTCTCATTTTTGCTTATATAAAGGACTTAGAATAAGGCTTACCTTTTTTTCCTCTTAACGTCTTTTAATTTGTTCATAAAGCATTTGCGTTCTCATCATTCATAGCTTCCTTATTCATTGTCACAGGTATGTTAGTTAGAGTTCTTAGGCAAAAATTAAAGAAGTTTTTAAAAACAACTTGTGAAAAATCCTATACTATGTATGTGAAAAAGTGCAAGGGCTAATCCCTACCTATGTTATGACTTTTGTTTCCATTCCATGTTATTAAACCAATATTACATAACTCGTGATTGATGAAGCACATGTGTAAATTTAGATCCATTCCAACTTCTATACTATCTTGAATCTTGCAAAACAAGAACCTGGAAATTTATTATTTTTCTACCCATAACCTCAGATGATATTATAGTTTATAGATCCTAAGATTCAGTTCACTTAGCGCACTAGTTGTCTTGCTTAGTTTTGGCTCTGCTCCATAATTTAATGCCAAGCATTTTGTATTTGGTTTGTTTCACCAGACATTATTTTCAATACCCCACGGGGTACCCGTGTCCTAACCTTAGCGATTATTAGTGGTAACTTTTGATGTTTTTTTTGCTCTACATTACTTCTGATGGAAGGGATGCTTGTGATCATCTTGTTTCGTTGCTCTCTGTTTTCTATTTAGACTCCAGTCTTTGATTTGGGCTGGTTTTCTTTCTGGGCCTTATAGGGATGTTTGGAAAAATAAAAAGCACTTTTAAAAAAAAAGTACTTTTTCTATCTTTCCTTTCCCTTCCCTTTTAACCTTATATTTAGGATTTCTTGCAGTTAGATTACACTTAGTTTTCGCCCAAGTGATTTTGTTGTCTTTACAAGTCAGAACCTTAAGATTATTTAATTACTTTTGTTTTGGCTATAACTAGACGCTGTACCCGTGCGATGCAAGAGGTGGTACATTCTCGATTGTCTTTTAAGTTAGATGTAAGTTCTGGAAGTAATGAATTTATGATACTTACGAATAAAATAATTAGATGAATAAGTGAGCAGAGATTGTGAAATCTAGAGACATTTCAAGTCCAAAGAAGATAGTACTTGGATATTCAATTGACTGATTCTATTAAATAATACTCCCTCCAATCTTATTTATAAACTTCAAATTTAGGAAGGGATATGGTCCGTTTTATAAACCTCAATTTGGGATTATGTTAATATTTAATGTATGTTTTTAAATTTTGCTCTTAATTATTTATTCTTTCTCTTTTGTCATGATCTCTCTTATCACATTTACCCACATATTCTATTTTATCTTTTTTCTGGTTTGTTATAAAGGTGTATTTGGAAACATAAGTATATTTCTAGCCTATTTATTGCTTTTAACTAATTTTAGCTAATTATTCATTATTTGCAAATTAATTATTTGAAACTTATAATAAGTATCAGAGGGAGGACATGTCATTTGGATATGTGGAGTTCACAATGGCTTAGAGGGGTCTATGCTATCCTTTATAACTAAATTTTCTGGAATTTCAATGGAGGTTTTATAACTAAATTTTCTGGAATTTCAATGGAGGTTATTCTATTTTGATCATGTCCAATGCGTACTTCTCCAATTTTCAACAACCAATGTAAGAAATTCTTGATCCCACTTTGTTCTTCTAGTGGAGAACTACGCATGAGTCATCCAATAATTTGCGGTGATTCCATAACTCAGAGGAGTCTGAAGTCCATCATCATTTGGCTTTATCATGTAATTTCTTCACAAAATTGTGATATTCTTTTATATATATATATAAAAGAATTTTGAAAGAATTACAATGAGGTCTTAGGGAAGTAAAATAATTATAAAACAAGTCCCAGATGTTGTTATTCTCTATTTTAGAACTTATCATTACAGGCTGCTCAGATTGTTATTGAGACTTTTTAGTAATTATTTCTCTTTCTTGGGATTTGATTATAATTCTCCCAAGAATTTTTGGCATTTGATGTTAGGCTGGTAGTGAAATCTACTCAAATATGTAGAAGAATTTTTGGCATTTGATGTTAGGCTGTTAATTGAAGTTATGTCTATTGTGCTTCGGATGTAAATTCCGGGGGTTAGAAGGCTAAGAGACTTATAACCACGGCATTTATCGTTTGTTTGGAGCCGTAAGACGGAACTCCTTTTACTGAAAAATTATCTTTAAATGCTTCAATTACCATTCCAAACAATTTCTTAGTATCCTGGCAACAAAATTAATTAATCTCTATTATTCCCATGACCCAAAAAATCAACAATCATTATGGACACATTGAAATAACTAACTTAGGGGGTGTTTGATAACATGAAAAAGTGTTTTTCAAAAACATTTTTTTGTAAAACAAGACAAACTTTTCTACATATTTATTTTGCATACCGTAAAAGTATTTTACAACTATAGTTGGGTTTCTATCTAAATATTTTTTTACTAGGAAAAACAACCTACGTGACCCAAGCCATCACAGATTCCTCCAATCCGCATCACATTCAAGGCAATATAGAATGACAGAGGACAACCAATAGGCTGATCTAATAATTGCTCCATTCACATGTATCTTTATGGGAGAATTACAATCAAGTCTCAAAAAAAAAAAAATTACTAAAATGTCCTAATAACAATTTGAACAGCTTATAATGATAAGTTTTAGAATGAAGAATAATAACATCTAAGACTTGTTTTGTAATTTTTTTCTTCTTCCTTGAACATCATTGCAATTCTCCCTATCTTTAACTTGGAGCGGACCCTTGTAAATGTCTTATTTTCATTCCAAACTCATTTTTATCTTCAATTTCATGTTCACATAATTTAATCAACCCTATGCATTATTAACATTATGATTTACATGGAAAGCTTGAGTTGCTAGAGTTCACTTCACAGGCATCCCTATCTTCAATTTCACCTTCACATTTAATTAACCCGAAACGCGTCATTAAGATTATTATAATGAATTACATGGAAAACTTTCATGTTGGTAGAGTCATTTATACTCTTTTTCCGAATAGATATATACATTATATTATATGCAGTATAAAGCAAGAGTCATTTTTCTAACCGCCTCTGTATTTATCGCGGTAAAGCTCCTAGATCACACACATACCAACAGAAGTATGACTCAAGTGAACCTCACAACTTGAGTAATACTACCTCGGATTCTTAATATAAGACTTTATTTGATTTTTATTTTGGTTCTAAATATAAGATCTTAATCCACTTTATCTCTCATATTTATCAATTTTTTCCTAAGATGATATTTATAATAATGATAGTTCTAACCAATACACTTAATTAGCAAGGACATTTTAGAAAAAACAATACTTGTTTATTATAAATAACTAACTTAACTAGTTTCTTTAATTTACTCAAATTAGTCAACCAGCTCTTATATTAAGAATCAGAGATAGTATATCAAGTTGATTTTCCTTCTATCTTCAGATACGCTACATTCTGCCGTATCAGGAGAATACATAGATATGAGCTGCAGGATGGTTTTGAGCTGGGGTTAACTGCTCTGAAGATTCCATTACCCAAGATGTCTGAAAACAAACCAAATAACTCACGTTCAACCATGAAAGCAATATATATGCCTT